GTCGTCCCCCATTCGGTTCTACGCGCGTTTGGTTCGTGAATGTGTTTTGTGAAAGAAGCTTTGAATCAATGGCCAAACATATGAAGAGAATTGTGATAACAATTGTGCAGCCAAGCGCGTTGGCCATTTGGTTATAAAGGGGACTTGAAAGCATTGAACCTATATTTTGTGAAATGTAATAAGAGACAATTATTCCCCCCATAAAGACAGGAAAGTTTTGAATATTTAATGGAAGCATTAATTGTCAGCTATTTATTTGTATTTATTAGTTGGTTATGAAGGGAGAATTTTTTATTTTTTATTTTTTCTAAATGTATAGTAATAGTTATGAGAAAGGCAAAATTGCATTTTATGCCCCGTAACTAGGAGTGTGTGGCAAATGTGGACAACTTCTTTTTGGTTTGCCAAAAGTGCCCTGAAACTTGTTAAAACCCGAAATTCGTGCCCAATTTGGGCACAAATTTCAAATTTTAACAAGTTACTGTCCTGTTTTGTCACACGAAAAACCGGTCATATCCGGTAACTTGTAGGTAAATGGGCACGAATTCCGGGTTTTAACAAGTTTTGGGGCACTTTTGCCAAACCAAAAAGAAGCTGTCCACATTTGCCACACACGTATAGTTACAGGGCACAAAATGCAATTTTGCCTTATGAGAAATGCTACCGTCGCCTTACGGAACTATTCCGTCAGGATTTGTAACCGTTAGATCATCATATAACCGTCGTGGATAATTGATCTGACGGTTACAAATTTCGACGGAATAGTTCCGTTACGGTACCGTAGAATCTCCCAATAGTTAGAAACTGGTCCAACCCCATCTCCCTTCAATTGGATTAGTTAAATTTGGGATTGCCAATATCAGTACATTTGTAATCCTCAATGTTCATTTTGTGGAAACTAGTCATTATTCCGACTCTATACATAGCATCAAACAACTGCCATTTTTTTTATTCACATTGTTGCTCTGTCACATAAAATATTTAAAATTTTCCTCAACCTAAAATGTCATGATTATTAAAAATACACGAGGGGAAATAACAGAAAGATGGAAAAAAGGGACAGACACAAAGAAATGCAAGTTATTAGTATATTTAACTCTTAACTACTTACTATACAAGTGGAAAAAAAGAGAATGCCATGAAGAAATTAAATAAAACAAGTACATTTTTTTAATGTAAGTTTTAGTGTAAATCATAATTCTTTGTAAAGATTGTTTCTTTGATTATTAAAAGATCAAATGAAATTTAGTGGTTAATATAGACTATGTTTGGTAGTCGTTGGCGTTTCCGCTAACTTTTAGTTTTTTTTTGGGCCTTTTAGCTGTTTTGAAATATTGACCAGCTAAAAAAATGTTGTTTGGTAAAAGAGCTTGTAGGAATTAGACACGCTACTTGGAGCAGCGTTTGCCATTAGCGGATTTCAAATTCATTTATTTAATTATGTGAAAAGTACACATTTTTTGGGGTGTTTGTATGCTGTAGCAGTGATGAATGATTCACATCCACATGCAATTGTTTTTTTTTTATTTTATTTTATTATTTGTTTTAAGAATTAGGTCCCTTCAATTTGTAATGATTGAATAAGTATTTTTAGATTCTATTTTTTATGGGTAATTATTATTATTATTATTATTATTATTATTATTATTATTATTATTATTATTTTATTTTTTTTATTATTGTTATTATTATGAGCGAAACAAATATTTACAAGAAATTAGTGGGCAGTCGAGATACAATCTGGGCTCCCACTCCTTTGGCTATAGCAAAGCCTATTCTAGTATAAATGTGAGCGGCAGCCCTTGCTCCAATATCTTGGGTTAAGGAGAACTTTTGAATGCGTTGACATGCTTAAAGGCCACTTTCATTAATTGTGTATTCTTATGTGAAACATTTTATTTTTCAATATAACAAAATAAGTGAATGTATGTCATTATTTTTAAAAAATGTATGTTATAATATTCTCTCTCTCTCTCTCTCTCTCTCTCTCTCTCTCTCTCTATTTATGTATATTTAATAAATGTTTATTATTATTATTATTATTATTATTATTATTATTATTATTATTATTATTATTACTTGAGTAAATATATATTTACTCACATTAGTTAATTTTACCAAACGCGTTAGCGCGATCCGCTAATCTAATCCGCGGTCAAAACAGCTAATACAATCAGTTGGTCAAAACAGCTGATATGATCCGCTAACAACTGATTGCCAAACAAGGCCGTCATGTACCCGAATTTCCAAAGATGACTTGTGGTACGAAAGAGACAAGATGAATTCGGGAAAATGACCATCTCAATATGATGATAAAATTGTGTATTAACCAAGAATATTTACACAAT